TTAAATTTATTTTTTATTTTTTTTCCCGAGTATCCAAAGTAATAAAACCGGAAAAGTTTTGTTTAAAAAAATTGATAAAATCCCCCCATGGGAAATTTTTTTTTAAATTTAATGTTTAACTTACGCGTTAATGATAAAAATTTTTTTTTTTTTTAAATAAAAGAAAAAAGCGGGCGGGCGGGTTTCAGAAAAAGATTTTTAGAAAAACAAAAAAAAAAAAAAAAATTTTCCAAGTTTCCGAAAATGAAAGAAAGAGAGAGAAAGAGAGAAAAGATGAAGTAGTTGATTTATTTTTTCATTTTTCTTCTGACTAATATCACAAATGAAAAAAAAAAAAAAAAGGAAAACTCACGAGAATTAAAAAAAAAAAAAAAATTGAAAGGGAAAAACTTTTTTTTTTTTTTCTTTCCAGACCGTTGGTGTGTGTGTGTATATTTTTTTTTTTTCCTCAAGAAAATAAAAAAGTTTTAAAAAGGTTGTTAAGGACATATTTTTAAAAATGGTCCTTTTAGATTACTTTTCTTTTTAGTATAAAATTCAACTTTATATCCTAATTAAAAGAAGAAGGGGGGGAGGGAAAAAATAAAAAAGAAAAGAAAAGAAAAGATGTCAAAATAATAAAACTAAATTGAGAAGATATAAAAATCTCGTTATTAAAAAAAGAAAAAATTTTTTTTCTGAAATTTAAAAAAAAAAAAAAGAGTCGTTTTTGGAAGTGTTGTAGAATAAAAAAGAAAATGAAAGAGAGGAAAGGAGAGAGGGAGGGGTAGGGAGGAGTAAAAAGAGAGAAAAGAGTTTGTTTTTTTTGACTTTTTCATTCAATGCATTTGCGCCATAAATTTTTAAACTCTTTTCTTTTATTCTTTTTAAAAAAAAAAGTTTTTCTTTCTCTTTCTCTTTTACTTCAACCGCCGGCTTTTAAGTGTTATCACCACCACCACCATCACCACTTTGGAGGTGTAGCAAAATAAGACAAAACGAAAAATATATATAAATAATTTATATATGCTTACCTTATGTGTATTGAATAAAATTTAACGGCGCTGTTGTGCGTGTTACGGGGTGGTGCCCAGGATAAATTAGCAGACCGTGATGTAAAACCCATTATCAAAGGTCTTCCCGGTGGATCAGGCACGTCTGTAACAACAACAACAAAAAGAAAACAATAAATTTTATATCTTATCTTATCCCACCTAAAAACCTTCCAACAGCATTGTTTTCACCTAACGATTTCCTTCCACAGTTTTCTTCCAGAATGAACTTTTACTTTTACTTTTTTCTTTTCACTTTAAAAAAGGAAAAAAACCCGTTACAAATTAACGAAAAAAATTTTTTGAAAATAATTATTATTACTTACTGCTGCCACTTTAAAAATAAAACTTTTAATTTAACCGGAAGGGTCAGAGACGAACGACCGGAAATTTTTTTTTTTTTGTTTTTGTTTTAAAAACAAAAAAAAAAAACTTTTTTTGTTTTATTTTATTTTAAGAGACAATTAATTAATTAAATTATTTATTTATAAAAACGATTTAAACCTTTCACGATGTATTAATTAAACAGGTAAAAAGAGAGAGAGAGAAAGATAGAGAAAGTATGACAGATTTTTTTTTAAAAGCCGTTATAATAATAGCTGTGGAGGCGGTGATGATGGTGGCAATGGTGGTGTTGGTAAAAGGAAAACAAACGACAGGAAAAAAAGAAAACTGTCAAAGTTTTATATATATATATATATATATATATATATATATATATATATATATATATATATATGTACAATCAATAAAAGTTGAAATTTAAGGTTTGAACGTGTCACTAGTTAAATTAATTAAATTTATTTGTTTTTTATTTACCGTAAAAAAAATAAAAATAAAAAAATTTTTATTTATTTATTTCCACGCGTCGAAAATGTTTTTTTTTCCTTTTTCCTCCCCCTCGCCCAGCTCCTCCTTTCCCCCTCACCCATCCACCCCCTCTCCTAATTATTTATTATTACCTTTTTCAAAAAGGATTTATTCTTTTAACGATTTTGATAATATTGGAAAAAATCACACATAACGATTTTTTTACAAAAAAAAGATAAATTTATTTTTTTTTTTAAAAAATCGATGGATTAATATTTTTTTTTTTACCAAGTCAATATCGTGATGATAATGATGATAATGGGCACGCTTATAGTGATAATAATAATAATAATAATAATAAACAAACAATACGATTTTCGGGGGCTGTTTTTTTTTTTTCCAAACGTTTATTCGTCGCATGGGATTGACCACAAAAAAAAAAACAAACAAACGCGTTACGTTTTTCCTTTTCTTTCTTTTACGTCGTTTTAAAATCTTTCTGAGTCGATATTTTAAATCCTTTTCTCCGCCATTTTTTTTTTTTTTTTACTCTTGAGAATTTCATGTTGGAAATTCTACGAGCTTTCCATCCTCATTACCAATTGTTTTTTTATTTCGCTAAAAAAAAAAAAATTTCCCTTTTGTTTCGACATTTTCTTTCTCTCTCTCCGTT